TGGCTGTATTGATCTAATCCGCCTCAATACGCATCCATACCCACACCCACCCACACCCACACCCACACCTACACCCCACCCAAAACAATGTCTGAATGTGTCGAAAATAATAATTCTATAGATACCTTGACGAGCTTTATCCAATCATGACAAAAAAAAATGAGCAAAAAAAAAATATTTTGCGTAAATTTCGGATTGTCAGTAGCTGATAATTTTATAAACTATTGAATTGTTTTTTAGATTTTCTATCCTGATTTAATTGATAAAACAAAAACTCCATCGTGTAGTCTTGTAAGTATATCTATTCGATTGCATTTTAATTCATAATAAGAATCTTTTCTTTTATTAAGACTGTTTGTGAAGATAATAGAGATTTTTCAATTCTCAAATTTCATGCTGGACCACCATATGAAGTAAAATTAAAGTAAAATTAAAAATAATCATTCTTTTCTATAATTTATTCTTTAGTATATTGCATTCAAAATTGTTAGCGAAGAATGGGATAAGTCACCAGAACATGGATTTCGATGTCATATTCAAAATGGAGTATTTCAATTATGGCTTCATTTTCGTAAACAGAAATATCGTCGATAAACCTTTTTTTTTCTCTTGTTATTATTTTGATATGTGAAATATATTGTTGTATGATTGAAACTGTCAATATATAAAATCCTGATGGACATAATAAGACTATCATCTACTAGTCTTTTCATTTCAATTTTTGTATCTAATATATGATATTTTCTTTCTCGATTAATTCTATTATATCAAATCGAATATATTCTTTCTTCGAGTAATCAGAAAAACTGTTTGATTCATATGTTTATCAGAACAAAAATATGTCAAGAACAATGATCGAATTATGATTGAATGTTTGTTTTTCGAATAGTCTTTTCGATAGTTTTTTAAACATCTTGTTGCAAGTGTAATACAACATTTCATTAAATATGATTTAAAATTGACCATTTTGCGATCAATTACTAATGTTACACTATGCTAATTATCTTCAATCAGACATAACATATTGAAATTATCCGTATTCTTCCTATTAGTATAATCCGATCCATTCGCAATGAGGATAAAATCATGAGATAAACCTAATCCTTTTATTACGTTTATATTATTAGTGTTGAATCATGTCAAAGAATCTTTTGATCTGTGAGATGATCTAGTATCCTGCATCACCATCTATTCTTCTTTTGATAAAAGGAATGCATTTTCAAATAAAGTAGGTAAGATTTTTCTAATTATCGTTATATATGGCAATTCATGAGCATCATCTGAATACATCAATAATGAACTATGAATATTTTCTGGCATGTAAACCTCGCAGATTAATCTCTTGTTTAATGTTTTGCACTATAACTCAATGGTTCATTACTTTGGGTTTTCAAACGTCGAATCGAGGATGTGGGCTTAGGTGTGAATATAAAGAGAAATTAACACCAACCCACATTCACACTCGCATCCGCACTCTATTACGAACAGAGAATAAGACAGAGAAAATAAGCTTAAACTCGTGTGCGAAAAAGGAAAGAATGACTTGGATGACTGGTATATAAGAATATGATTGTAGTGATAAAGTCACACGAATAGAGTAACGACTGGACATAAGCAAGACTAACTTGTTTGAGTCTCGATATTGAAACATTTCGATGATTATATAGACGAAGACTCCGCGCCCTAAAGTTGTCCTCTCAAGATGAGAATCAAATTGTGTTTTTACTGCTATGCGACAAGATAGAGAGGACTAAAGCAGCTATTCACAATATTAACTGCGTAAATTGAAAATCAAAAAAGGCAAAATGATACTGATTTTTCTCCCATTTGTTTTACTCTGCTGTTTTTCTTCGAACAAGCAATGACAACGATAGTTATTTTCTGTTTTTCTTCCGTTTTGCATGTGTCACGAAATGACGTCAGTGTGATAACGCCTTGTGACAGTGCTTGCACATTAATCCTATCAATCCTAGAATCAATCATCACCTGGGCATAACGTGTGCTGCTCGAAAATTTTCGCGGAACAGCTATTGTATCGATATAGAAAGTTGATTCTGAGGAATATCTATATTATATTGTACAAGTGTTCGTCGTCAGGAACTTTTTATGATTGGTCACAGAACGAAAATAAAAAAGTACTCATATATATACGTCGTATATGTCCATTCATTATATATATACGTCGTGTCTGCCCATTCATTATATATATATATGTCAGTCATCATATATCTGTATATGTATATTATATTTTATATTCAGGAACTTTTTTCTTATGTAAATTAAATCAATTTTTCCTATAATATTAAAGTTCAATGAAGGGGAAAAAGGCGACTCCCGTACTCTCGGAGTGCAGTGGAAGTATTGGGAGTACGGTGGAAGTACAGAACAGTACAGGGAAAGTGCAGGAAAGTACAGAGAAATACAGGAAAGTACAGTGGAAGTACAGGAGAGTACGGTGGAGGTACAGGGAAGTACAGAACAGTACAGGGAAGTACGTCGGAAGTACAGGAAAATACAGGAAGTACAGGAGAGTACAGTGGAAGTACAGAACAGTACGGGGGAAGGACAGCGGAAGTACAGCGGAGTACGGTGGAAGTACGGAGAAGTACAGGAGAGTACAGTGGAGGTACAGAAAGTTACAGGCGAGTACGGTGGAAGTATAGGAAAGTACAGTGGAAATACGGACTCCAGGAGTCTCACCTTTTCCCCTTGAGTCAAACCCTTCACAGGGGCCTCTAGTAGTATTTATTGACTTACATCATCGTCCTCTAACACTACTGATGCATCATGGCTGTGTCAAGATATCAGCATATTAGATGAATCAAGGAAGTTTTATGATTGCTTTACACTACATTTATTCATCTCTCTCCAATTAATCTCAACCAACAATATTATAGATTCAATGCAGAAAACAGCACACCTATTGGTAGATGAGGATGAGGATAAGTGTAAGAGAATGAGGGGTTTCTCTTAGACCTCACCCATCCTTACTCAACCTCAACGGGCAAGTAGGTGGCAGATTGTCAATAATACCTGTAAAATATTCATTGTGTTTATATTTTACGTAGGACATCCTAGGTCAGGATTAGTCGAGAATCCCAATCAAGTCAGATCAACACTAGGCCAAGATACCCCGCAACGAACACTATTCATTCATATAGTTAATCTTCGCTAAAAACCACATTATCCCATAGGAAACCGCTGAAATACCGATAAATGTCTATCTGTAGTGCGGTCAAAGGTCAAATTCATAGTTTTGAGTAGAATCATGTTAAAACCTTTTGAGATCTTATGGAATCTTTCACTACTCTCTATGATTTTCTAGCGCCCTCCGAAACTTTGTGATGGAATAAGTGAGCGTGAGGATAAGACAAGAGGGCGTGTGAGAGTGATGAGAAGACATTCACATAGTTACACTTACACATTCTCATTGTATCTATCACCTATTCACCGTGATTCCCATTCGCCTATGGCCGCTCTTGGCAATTCAAGGATAGTTTTAAAAAGCCACCATCGATTAAATAGTTCTATTGGTTTGAAAATCAACGTCGTCAAAACTACCTATAAAAAAAGTAGTTTTATCACCTTTTAGATAAAGAAAAGTATTATCAATAAGGAAATGAGTGGTAGTGTTGATGGTCTTTTGGAATTTCTGCTCTATGTTGGCCAAGCCAAACGAACACTTCGCACAGGTTGGGTTTTACGTGGTGTTGAAAGAGCAGAAAGTGTTGCAGATCATATGTATCGAATGGCTGTTATGTCACTTTTATTACCAACTGTATCAGAACAATCAAAAGTCCGTTGTATGAAATTAGCACTTGTACATGATTTAGCAGAATCAGTTGTTGGAGATTTAACTGAATTTGATGGCATACCGAAAAGTGAAAAACACCGACGAGAAAGTGAATCAATGCTTTATTTAACACGTTTGTTACCAGCTAATGTTGGAAAAGAGATATTTGCATTATTTAATGAATATGTTGATCAAAAAACAAATGAAGCAAATCTTGTGAAAGATTTAGATATATTTGATATGCTCGTACAAGGTCTCTTTTTCAAATAAAATTAGGAATATTTATTTTTCTTTTATTTAGCTTATGAATATGAAAAAATTCAAGGTGAAAATGGATTTTTAGAAGAGTTTTTTAAAAGTTCAGTCAATAAAGTACAAACGGATATTGTTAAAAAATGGCTCCAAGAATTGATTCAATGTCGATCATCAACAAAAAAAGTTCAATTACCATCTGACTCAAATCTTAATACAATGCTTAAACATGTTCTTTATGATAAACAAGGTTTGCTTTTTTTCTTTTGTAAAAATAAATGAACTCAGATTTTGTTAATGCTTTTTAATGATACAGGAACATATCTTTACAAACTTCCAGTATCTGATATTCGTGAAAAAGTAAATGATTTTATCTCAAGTAAAAGTCAAAATGATAATTCATCATCAATTGATACAACTGAATGTTTGACAAATTTTGTCAAAGATAGCGAAGATCGATATGATTAAACATTTACTATTTTATAGAATACTTTAAAGAGAAAAAGAAAACATAATTATCTTTAAACTTGAATTCTTCAAATTGCTTTTGTGCTTCTTCTTTTATTATTTGCTTTTGTTCATATTGACAGTTAGTGGTGGATGTTTGTATTCTTCTATTATACAGTATTATTATCTTTTTCATCTCATATTGTGTATAAATAAAAGAATATTACTCTGAACACTTGTTATGCTATATTTCAGATGGAAAATTTTTCTTTTTACTTTTTTTCGTTTTAATAAAGCATAAAGATGGGGGTCACGAAGACATAAAATTGGTCCCCTTCCTAAATCAAAGTTTTGACTTCGCCAATAATCTATATTGATGTGATGACATTATTAACTTTGAAATTACACCGTTACAGTGCATTCTAGGAGTCCAAAAGCTTGATGCTATATATCAGTCGCTTGGCTATGATACGCAGCATTTTTGAGAAGCTTTATCTTTCTCCTTTCAAGGCTTAATGGTCATACTAAATATCAAACGAAAGCTCTCTCTTTTCTTGATCGAATGATATACAACACAATAACCAAGGATTATGTTTTACCTATTTTCTTTAGAGAACACAGCCATCGAGTCATAATAATAAGGAGAATCCATATGAAAATGTCCGTCATCTGATAGTGTTAAAATCGTGGCTCAATTTAAATTTCATCTCAATCGATAGGGATGACGATCTTCCACTCACCCTGACACCCTCACCCTCAAAAAAGTTTTTAGATAAAGTGAAATAACTTGACCAATAGCGATCAAAAGATATTGTCGACAGGTATTGTCAAAATCAGACTTCAATATAGATCAGAAATCGAGATGAAAAGCACGAAGAAAAACAACATCCAAGAATTCGAATAAATCATGTGCAAATTTGTTACTTAATTATTCGAACTGCATCGTTGCTTTGTTGGCAGTGCAATCAAATAAGCATTGTGGATATTTGATAAGAAAAAAACTTCCTTTCGTTCTGTGAACTATTTCTCTTTCTTTAATAAAAATGCATCCCAAAATGAGACGGAAACCACACTTTTGTGGTGAACTACAAATTTCATCTCA